TCGGATGTTTCACCGACGGAGCCACCCAGGTGCCCCTCCCTCCTATTTTATATGTGGTTAAAATAACAATTTAATATCTCTTGGGCTTCACAGGCACAAGTGCTTCTGGAGCAGCGTCTGATACCAGTTCACTGTGCTACCACATTCCAACTACTGCAGCTAAACCCTCAGTTCCTTGGCAGCATCAGAGGAAGTGGTACTCCATAAAAATTTATTTTCCAGTAAAATGGTAAATAAGAAAAAGTATGAACACGACATTTTTGACCATTTCAGATAAAGAGGTTTCTGAAAGGTATCTCTTTCTTTGGAAACAATACAGAAGGAACGTTCTGTTTTTCTGCTTCCTCACAGTCACTCACTTCTTGAGGCCACAGGGCCTACATTTAGCAATTCCTTCTGGCTTTTCTTGCTGTGGGGCAGGAGACCAGATTTCCTTTTTAAGCTTAAATGAGCTCCAAAAGGGAACCTGAGAGCTGCCCCTATGATAGCAGTACATGAGCCTCACATCTACTTTGGCTGATTAGAAAGAGGCCTTCTGGGGTCATTTCAAGGTTTGTTTGTTTGTGTGTCCTGTATTTTGGGTCACCTGAACAGAAAAGTCACTATTCTTGTACCCTTTTCCAGTAAAATGGCAGACCTTAGTACAGCATGGGAATTAAGTTATTTTTCTGTTATGGCAAAGCTACTTTAAAAAGTACCTACCTGTGTCTTTCTGGCAAAAAGTAAGCCTACAGCTAGCTTTTAACTAGTGACATATATATCAAAGAACGTTAAGAAGTCTCAGTGAAAGAAAATAAAATCTTCACATCTTACATGATGGTTTGCTAGCACAACTTCAAACTAAATTAAATTTCCTCTCAACTAGAGAAACATTCTACATTTGGATCTAGATGAACAGTTCTTATCCCTGTCAATGGACAAAGGAAATTCAGTCCCATGGGATATTATGGCTTTTCAGATTCACTCTGGGGATACTGACAATTAGTAAGGAAGTCATTAGAATTCTAAATGCGGCTCTAAGCCTCCAAACCCCTAATTTAGAGCTCTGAATCCTCTGGGCATGTCAGAAATGATTTCAAATCAACTAGACTAGCAAAGTCAGATAGAAAAGAAAAGAAACTTAAGATGCCCTTCACCGGGAGATGCTCTAAGTTTCTGACAACTCCTAAAGCACAATAAGGCTTCTGACCCCAAAATACAGAGAATCGCAGGGTCCTAGAATGTTCCTTCACAATTCCATCAGCATTAGTACTAAGGACTGCCAACTGCAAATCATAATCCCATACTTTGCTTTACATTTAGAATACTCCTATAAAACATTTCAGACAGTTTTAAAAATCCAAACAAAACAATACCAATTTTTATGAACAAAAGCCACTCAATACAGTCTCTAACAATACAGGAAAACTGAGAAGTTGAGGCTTTCTTCTGAACCTGGCTGTTACTGGTTATGTGTTAGAAACAAGATGAGGAAGGTGTGCAATCCCCTAATAAACACTGAAATTTCCTTCTAACTGAAGAATGAAGAGAATAGAAGTGTGATCTTGGTCCATTCAGAAATTCAAAGCTACCATTTGCCTAGACCTATAGAATCTATTATTTTTTAAAAAAGAGAAATAAGGGGGCACCTGTCTGGCTCAGTCAGTAGAACATGCAACTCTTGACTTCAGGGTTATAAAGCTGAACCCCACACTGGAAACAGAGATCACTTTAAAAGAATTAAAAGGGGAAAAGAGACAGAGAGACAGAGAGACACAGAGAGAGAAAGAAGTCTGTCCCCTCAGGATATATGGGCATGAATGGATTAGGGGAAATCCATGGGTGATTTGCACACCCTTTGTAAGGAGAACCATGGCAACCCAAAAGAATTAACTTTTGAATCTTTGGCAGGTAAGAGTTAAATGTGAGGCTTAGAAATAGTTACCAATTATATGGATATGGATATGGATATGGATATGGATATGGATATGGATATG